AAGAGTGGAAGACAAGTAAAAGGACGAAAAGTTGACTTTCCTGATCTACCTCTCCATGCACCCATGTGCAAAGTGTCTTGCACATACACATCAAAGAGACTTAACTATGAACGCAATGTGAGATTTCATTTTCAGTTCTTACTAAATGCAATAGTTACATGGAGAGAGAAAAGGAACGGGCTGGATGTGAGAGGAAAGTGCAGAGTCATTCTTTCTCTTCCTGTGGTCAGTGTGTCATTCCTTGGTATAGCTCTGCTTGGGACATTTTTCTGTGGAAACAGAATGAAGAAAATCAGATTTGTTTTAATACTATTGGTAAAATTATAGTGAAATTGTATGCAAGACTCTCATTTATTACCAGGTCTTAGCAGGTTGCTCCTAAAAACATAACTGTTTAAGTGTTATTGTTCTCTTCCACCACTTCTGTTTCCAGTTCCTCTAATCATTATTCTACTTACTTCATTTGTAAGTGCTGGCTTAAACAATCCAACATTGCAAAATAGCATTTATGGAGATTGAAAGTTGTGGTAATTAATCATCTTTGGGCGAAATTCTAGCCCAATGAAGTCAGTAGCAAAACTCATGCAGCTTCAAGGTTTCAGCTCATGGCATCTTAGTGCCATGAATTATTTGTACTCTGGATGTCTTTTGAAGTTTTGTGTACATTAAGGAGAAATATGGGGGTTGTGTGTTTGGTCATTAGGAAGGAATAAACAATGGCTGCAAGAATAAAAAGTTATACAGAGAGTAACCGTGTCTGCTATTTCTTTTGTCCCTGCAGACCTCAAGCCCAAATCAGTTTTTGTGACTGCTCTGTAAACAGTTGGGGATCTAGAAGTTGAGCCCTGCTCTTTCTGGGTAATAGTAGTCACAATTTAGCTCATGTGTGTGCTAATGATGCATGAGACACAAGCCAGAGTTGTCCTCAGTTTCACTGGTTTTGCAGAGCTACCCATGAAAAAGCTTTCCTGTATTTATGGAGTCTTAGTTGCAGCTCACTGAAAACACTAGTAAGCTTCCTTTGTTGCTAGTTGATGTCAATGAGCTTTTGGCTCAGACCCACAAACATCTGATTCTCCTATTCGAACTGGTATGACTGCATTATGCAGTGTTCAGGAGTTTGTAACACTTCATCAGAATACATCATAGATAAATTGAAAACATGCTTATTTAATCCATGTAATAGGATCAATCAATTTTTTTCCCAAAAACATTTACTAAAGCAAAACCTAAGGGATTCCTTAAACCCCAGGACCTGCAGTAACTGGGGCTGCCTGCAGTAATCCCTCTCTGGCCTTAGAAAGACAGCCTCAAATATTATTTCGAAGCACTTAATTTCTCCCCCCAACACCATACATTCTCCTTGTGTTTGTGGCACTGCCAGATATAGACAGAGAGTGAATAACCTTTGGAGAAGCTGCAGATGTCTTCTTCAGACTCTGACAAGCCTTGGTCATTGCTGAGCAACAGCAACTTTGTCAGTGTTCAGGTTTGGGGTTTTTTTCTTTCCTAATGAAGTGGTCAAGATGGGACCACATGTGATGATAATACTGACATGGTCACAAGCAGCAACATCGCTAAATACCATTGTGACAAGTGTAATGCCAAAGTTGACACCTGCAGCACCCCTCGATATCTCACAATTGTTAAGGTCCTTAGCAGACAGGAGAAGGAAAGAAACCAGGGGGACTTGTGTGATCTGCTCATGTCACAGAAGTCAGTCGCAAAAGTCATAAAACCACCTAGTAATGGATATTTTCTTTTCTCAGACAAGTACAGAATTTCTAATGAGAATTTTTCCCTCTCATGTCAGTGACAATGTTGATTTTCCTGAGTTCAAGGGGAAAATCCACCTTGCCTCTGGACATGCAATAAATCATCTAATATCACTCTAAAGAACTGATCACCCATGAGGGGCCGTGATCTCATCACTGGCTTGGAGAAAGGAGCAGTTGATACAAGGCAAAAGCACTCCTCAAATATGTTGTATAACTTTTTGTATTCATTAAGATGCTTCAGATACAGAACAACTCCCTTTGTTCAATATTTATCTTTTCATCTGCCCTGACCTGGGAAATGAGAGCACTCTGAGAAGTTAATTGAAAGCTTGCTTTGTTTCATTTTAGCTTTCAGGTCTAAAACTTCACTTTCAGTAATGGTAGAGAACACTTTTGTCCTGTCTGCAATAGCTCAGAAACCTTTTCCAGCAACAACTGGGAATTCACTATTGATCACCATTGTCTTATTCCAGGAATTGTCCACTGAGATGATTTTTCTTATTGAATGACAACAGGAACCCCCAGCCCAGGAAGGGGATCATTTCTCTCAGGTTTCCATAGCCAATCAATCACAAGATGCTCTACACAGGATTCCCATGTTGTCTGTCCTAGATGAGTCAGGGGGTTTTGATTTGTATTTTATTCTATCCTTCTTCACCCAAGTCTGCTTCCTGCCAAGAGGGGCTGAGGTCTGAGCAAGGATTGCAGAGACCTGCATTCAGATGCTGAGATGTAAGAGTTCCTTGTGTAACTTTTGGCAAATATTTGTGCCTGAACTAACATGTATGAACTAACATACATGCATATATATGGCAAAAATAAAGATATAATTTTGTTATTAATATGGTCCATACATTTTTGGGACCAGGGACTGTTTCTAACAGGATTTATATATATAGTACTTTCTGCAGTACTGTCCATACCTGCTGGCAGAAGGAAGTATTTACCAGGGTCTTATTAATTAAAAAAAGAAACAAAAGATTCCAAATTGACAATGTTATTTTGAGTAAAGCTTGAAAAGCCACTAGGTGTGGGAGATGGAGGACTGAGCCGTGAAGAAAGTGGGAGAGTACGTGCAGATCTGCCAAGCCCCAGTGTTAATAAATCTTTGAATCCTCTTTCAGGACAGGGCTAGGTAGGTGAGGGCACTGAGCATTCCAGCATTAGCCCCAGTGTCCCTTAGACATTCCACCCTGACTAACAGTGGATAAATACTATTAAATACTAATGAATAAATTAATTACAAATAAATAAATATTAAAACATTGGAGAGGGGCTTGGGACAAGGGCCTGTAGGGACAGGCCAAGGGGAATGGCTTGAACCTGCCAGAGGGGAGACTGAGCTGAGCTCTTAGGCAGAAGCTCTTCCCTGTGAGGGTGCTGAGGCGCTGGCACAGGGTGCCCAGAGAAGCTGTGGCTGCCCCATCCCTGGCAGTGTTCAAGGCCAGGTTGGACACAGGGGCTTGGAGCAAGTTGCTCCAGTGGAAGGTGTCCCTGCCAGTGGCAGCAGTTGAAGCTGGACGAGCTTTAAGGTCCCTTCCAACACAAACCAGACTATGATTCCATGATTCTATTTCTGATCATTTCTGAAGGTGGGAATTCATGGAGCAACTGATAAATAATGATTTATCAGTAGTTCCATGTTTACATTTCTTTACATCACACAATGTACTCGATCAGCTCCACAATGCTCCCTTATTAGCACAGACCTCTATTTTACAACAGCTCTTGTATTTATGTTTCAAAGGACAGAGTAGCAATAACAAGAAAACATTTAGGTGCCGACACAACTGAGTGTGTCCTAAAACAAGGAATAAACAAACTCAGCCAAGAATGAAGTGTGGATAAAAACATGTTATTTCCAAAGAGGGGATGAATCCCAATACTTTACATGAAGTGAAAGATGAAACAGTGGTTATTTTGAAATTGGCCTTAATTTGCTGGTGATACTGCTGATGTTAATAAAGTTATTTAAAAATATTTACCAGTGTGTCCAGCATCAGCTGTGATATCATACTCATAAGTTGAAAACTCAAGTGTTCTATTGCCCCTGAAATGAGGAGATGTGTTCAAACAGTTCAGAAAGAAACAAAAATAAACACATAAAAATGAGGCAACACCACCCTGTTGGTGCTGCACCATTTTTCAGCTTTACAGTTTTTGATCCTTTCATGTGACATTCTTAAATTCTTCTCCACAAGCCCAAGGGTGACACACACTCACTTTTTCCTTGCGTCTTTGCAAAAATCAGTGGGGTCCCAGTAATGGAGCTCAGAGAAATGTGCAGCTCATAGTAAAACTTGGCACCACCTTAGATACACTCTCTACAGCAATACAGGGAGCTTCGAAAAGCCTTTGCCCTTAGTACTCTCTCTCAGCTCTTGTCTAAGGATTTCATGCAAATGCTTTATTCATTTCAGTCCAGAAAACACTGAGATCTTATATTTTTATTTTAATCCTTAATTAATCCAAATCTCTACCTGTCTTAATATAATGAAAGACTAAAAATAACGACCTCAACACCCTCACCCTGCCCCGGGCACTTTGGTTTTTAATCTTTTTCAAGGGGGTTAATTTTAGACTTGGCATCTTTGCCCCATGAACTTCCCACATGTGGTTAAAGCTACAAGCCAGGTCCTGCCACCAGCCATATTTACCAGAAGCAGCAGCAGAAATTTCCAGCAGAACTGTAAAGGGGCTGCAGTTCCTGTTGTTCTGCCAGTATATTTCATCTAAAAATATTATTCATCTTGCCAACCGCTTTAATGCAATTGGGGAATGGCAGAGCAGGGAAGGCAGAAGAAAAGCTCTTTGTTCAAGAATTTCAGCTCAGAAGTCACTCTATTTTCTATACTGTCTGCTGCTCTTTTCCTTTTCTTTCTGTATGTCCTTCTTCCCTGTTTACCCTGTCTGTTCTCAGACTTTTCCCAGTTGTATTAATTAATAGTTCTATTCACCAGAATACCTACCATTTAAGGTGTCCGTGCTTGACTTTTAAACACAACTTTTTCAAGTGAACTTGAACAAAGAGAGATAGTGTAAAAAAGATTGCCCTGCTGCAGGGTTAACATCCTTCTTGATACAACTACCTGGATTTAGACCATGGGAGTAACCTGGAAATAGTTACGAGGAGCATGGCACACAGGCTCTTCCGAGCCACCCACAGCCGTAATCTTTGGCTTTCCCTCATTTCGTTGACTCTGCCATTTCTCTTCTTTGTAGTTTTCTGTTGCTGAAGCAGAAGCTGGAAGATGATCAGAGAGGAAAGCAGAAACACTGAGGTCAAGTGTCCTTGAAGTCTGCTTGTGACTAATACATTAATGAGCTTATTTGGGGAAAATCCAAAACCAACTTGTTCTGCACCTGAGCATGAAGGGTACCTGCCCAAAGAAGGGCAGCGGAGCTGGTGCAGGGCCTGGAGCACAAGTGTGATGGGGAAGGGCTGAGGGACCTGGGGGGTTCAGTGTAGAGAAGAGAAGGCTCATGGGGGACCTGATGGCTCCCTACAACTGCCTGACAGGAGGATGGAGCCAGGAGGGGCTGGGCTCTGCTCCCAAGGAACAAGGGATGGGATGAGAGGAAATGGCTTCAGGTTGTGCCAAGGGAGGTTTAGACTGGTTGTTAGGAACAATTTCTTCAGTGAAATCATTGCCAAGCATTGGAACAGGCTGCCTAGCGGTGGACTTGGCAGAACTGGGTTAACAGTTGGACTCTATAATATTGCAGGTCTTTCCCAACCTAAGTGATTCTATGGTTCTATAGTCACACTAAAGCAGGAGTGGGCATTGAAACCAACCCACTCCTAGCAGCAGAGAAGGAAAAAAACCCACAACACTTATACAACAAATAATAATAAGAGAAGAAGTTTGACTTCACTTTGAGGATCTGACAGCCTCTTCTTTACAACAGCAGAAACCTTTCCCAGGTGCTGCTGTGCACCAGGCTGCATCCAGCCCCTGGGATCACTCATCTACCATGTCTGCTGTGACCTTGCCAGGAGGGGATGAGAGGGTGGTAAGAGCTGGGATCAGTCCTCTGGCATGGGCATGAGGTCCCAGCCTTCCTCCAGCTTGCTGCAGCTGGGAATGGGCCCTTTGGAGGATGCTTACAGGCGTGCTCTTGGTTTTCAGGCTAGCTCGCCATGGTTCAACCCAGGTGAGTGACTCAGTGAAGCTTTGTTGTACTTCGGCAGTAGAAATATCCTAACCTGCTGCCTTCTATTTGCTCTTTTACATAGATCTGTGAGGATACAAGCAAATAAAGAAAAGTAAAAGAGGTTAGATTATGAAACAAATTGTGGTTCAAACCAGGCAGAGGAAAGCTTCTATCAAACGAGTTTTAACCTTCCACATGCTTTCATTTATAATTATTATTTATGACGATTACTACCATCAATTTGTTTAGTGAGCTGAGTGTACATGTTATCCTGGCAAGTGTCAATGAAATAAACAATCTCTTCCCCTTCAAATCTAATATGCTAAAAGTGGCAGGATACTAACTAGATCTCGCACAACCTGATAAAATTATTACAGCCTGAACATGTGTAGTATAGAGGAGTCTTTTAAGAAGATCTCTGAAGGAAGAAACTGAAGGATGCTGACATATTAATAAGAAAGCTGCTGCAAGCATATGCACAGGCTGAAGATGTGCAGTCTGGAGTGTGCAGGGGACATGAGGCAGGGTTGAGGGCAGGCATGGGGAGGAGAAGAGCTGGTCCAAGCCTTGCTGTTGAGTCAGGACAATGCTCAGAGCCAAGTAGGTGATTTTACTGGCAAACCAGCCTCCTCATCAAGACTGCCATGCAAGAGAGATATCGCCTCTGAAGAAGGCACAATTTAGCCTCTTACCCTTTCTCAGGGAGGCAACGAGAGAGGACCTAAAATGAGGAGAAAGAAGAGGAAATTGGTGATGGGCAATGCACAGCACCATTAATGCCAGGTTGCAAGATGAGCTATTTGCTTGTCCTCACTGTGCTGACATATGAGGAGTGCAGTGAGACGGTTGCTCAGGCTCTCATCTTGCACCAGCAAATCAGGTTGAGAGCTGTTCTGTATTGTCTTGGCCAACCAGCAGCTATAAATGTACACACTGGGATGATCATTGCCTCCTTACAGTCTTTTCTGACAGTCTCTTATCCAGTGGAGGAAGAATATTGGGTCAGGCTGTGTAACAGCCAGCCCAAAAACAAACTAAATCAAAACTCCCAAGGAAAAAACATCTCTGCTGTGCTTTGGTTCACCCCTCAGAGCTGGGTGAGCTTGTGAAAACCTGTGCTGTGGTAAAGGAGTCTTATCTTCAATGCACATTATATGCACCACATGAAGTCGTGGCCATCTTACTCCACAGATTCCATCTCTGAGCCTTTTTGCTCTGCTAGAGCAGTGTAAAGCATGAGAGCTGACTCTTGCAGCTATGCACAATTAGGCAGAAAATGTGGAATATGAAGAAAAAATTGTGTCTATCCCAGTGTTACACATGATGGAGTATTTCCTTTCCAGCTTTTGATAGCATCAATTTGGACTTATGAAAAAGAGGAAAGGACTCTGTGTGCGTGTGTGATGGCATTGGGGTCAGGAGAGCACTGGAGAGAGATGAATTCCCTGACCCCCTTCTTTGGAATCTTAATAACGTGTTAAGTTATTGTGCAGCAGAGGAATGCAATTAGCACAGCGGCCAACTCCTCCTCCAGCAGGTCATTACTGCATTAGTAAATGGAGGCTGTTAAAGCACACAACATCCCTAAACATACCAGAGGGGCTGCTGGCCCAACAGGACCCAGGATTGATGAGAAAACTCCCACTGGTCTCTCCCCTTCTCCATCCACTTTTCATTATTGCTTTTCTGATCAAGCATGCGACCACATCCTTCCCATCCTCCCCCATACCCTCTTCCTGAGACACGCTCCCAGGAGGCCTCTCTGGAAAATCCAATCACAACCTACTGAGAGCTGTCTGTGATATATGCAAAAGGAACCTCCAGCTGTGAAGAGCTTAGCATGGCCACAGGGAGCTTCCCCAGCCAAGCCGAGTAGGTAGAGATGAGGCTCAGAAGTGCGGTGCAGAAGTAGAGCAAGGCTGCTGTGTGTCAACTTGGACACGGAAAGAGATGATCCCAGCCCAGCCCTGGGTGCTAATACACTCACTGGTTTGTCCTGCTGGATTACAGGGAAATTTCTATCATATCCTGAGGTGCAGGTTACCAGCAATCTGCTGCTCAGGCTCAGTGGAAAGCAAGGAAAAGGTTTCTCCACTGAAGTCGCTGGACAAATTAATCCTGTGGTTTCCTAGGACAAATGCCATTGTGCTTTGTATTCGTCCTGCCGTCTCCTGCATTAGCCTAAGCAGTTCCAGAGGAGCCTGGAGAACCCTGTGGATTGGATAAGAAATAGCATTTGTTTTCAGATGTTTTCAGTAATTCTGAATATTTTGAAACCATTCTGATTAGAATAAATGCAAGTTGGCATCTTTTCCCATGATAATACGTAACAGCCTGAGGTTAGTCATAACAGTGATGAGAGAACCGGCATCTTGCTCATGATAAAGACCTCCAGCACAGCTAGGTGAGGACATTGGTGGACCCTGGCAACTGATAAGTTTTTAATCCATACACCATGTAATCCTTGAAACATTCCACAAAGTGCACCCATAGTGCATGAATTTTGTCCCCACCAAAGTGCTGAAGATTAATTTCAGCAAGCTTCAGGATGACACCATCAGAAACAATCATGAAAGCTCTTCAGGGAGATGGAGAAGGTGAAAATCACTGCTACTGTTTCCTTATTTCATTGAGAAGTGAAGAGCTGACTCTAACAGATATCTGACTCCTTTGATAAGATTTGATGGCTTGGCTTCGCAAGCGAAGATTTGGGAAGGGCTTTAACCATGCTTACTACAAGCACGATGACCAAGAGCATGTGGGATATGCAAATCTGGTTGGAAAAAAGGCTGCTTAGGCAACCAGGAAGTGTCAACCCAATGAAATGACATCTCATAAGGCAAATAAAAACACAAGGATGGAGTAAGAAAGCAGGTCTCCCAGATTGTGGCACTCTTGACCAATGGATATCTTCAAACAAGCACAGGTATGTTCAGGTGATCACTGCCCACTGGTCACAGAGACCACTGCAAAACAAATACTCCAGATTTGTTACTGTGCATGCCCAGCAAGTGGGAATGTCTGCAGTAACAAAGGGGCTATGTTCTAAATAGTCAAGAACCTGTGAATTACAGACCATAGGACATGCTTATAAATAAATAAATAGAACTACAGTTTTAAACATATAATGATTTTTTTTTACCAGAGTACTGTCTCCAGCTTCTCAGTATTAGAGACCATGTTTATATTGCTATGCAAATTATTCCTCATAACAAGTTTACAAATTTTATGTTCATTATTAATAGGTTTATGAGCTTTTCCCTTCCTGTTTGATGCTATCTATAGTGCTCTGGTAATACATAATTAATGTTAACTGCTTGTGCTCTGGCCGTCGTGCCAGTTTACATTAGGATATTTTTCCATGTCTTTTGTTTCTAGCAGTTGGAAATTGGTGTTCAGTGGGAATGAAATAGCCAGATTACTTCATGCTGCTCCTTCCAGGCTTTTCATTTATCTGACTGATAAGGTGCTGGTGGCTTAAATCACCAACTTCTCTCATTTTACAGAATTGGGTTAAAAATATGTTTAAGCTTTGGCAAGTGCAATGATTTGCCTTTGGGCCAGGTCTTAGCCACAGACTCAAAGCTCCCCATGACCCGGCCATGTGCTCTCACAGCCCAGTCTTCCACCCCCCATGTGCTGGGCTGCACCCCAGAGCATGAGCAGCAGCTCAGGGAGGGGATCCTGCCCCTCTGCTGTGCTCTGGGGAGACCCCCCTGCAGCCCTGATCCAGCTCTGGGGCAGCAGCACAAGAGGGATGCAGAGCTGCTGGAGCGAGGCCAGAGGAGGCCATGGAGATGCTGCGAGGGCTGGAGCAGCTCTGCTCTGGAGCCAGGCTGAGAGAGCTGGGCTGCAGCAGCCTGGAGAAGAGAAGGCTCCTGAAGGGGAGACCTTAGAGCAGCTCCAGTGCCCAAAGGGGCTGCAGGAAACCTGGAGAGGGGCTTGGGACAAGGGCCTGTAGGGACAGGCCAAGGGGAATGGCTTGAACCTGCCCGAGGAGAGACTGAGCTGAGCTCTTAGGCAGAAGCTCTTCCCTGTGAGGGTGCTGGGGTGCTGGCCTTCCCTAATAAAATGTATTTCTGCTGGGAAACCATCATACACCAGAGTACCAAAATAATAGTAGAAGGTATTGTCCAGTTTACATGTCTGGACAGACAATTCACTTTACGATAGACTTAACCTTCCAGGTCAAGTGCATTATTTTGTGATAGCCACCAGTTTTGATTAATTGGCAGTCTCAGTTTAAATGGCTGGAGCACTATGGCAGGGGTGCATGTGTGATTGTAGTGACAGTGATAGAAGGAATTTTCAGATGGGGACAGAAGTGCTTTGATCGAGCCGTCTGTATCGGCCAACCTGCTCCCTGCTTGTCAGGCTAAGCTCTACCTCATTGCACAACACGGGATTGCAACCTTTATCTGCTGAATGCATCTCCCAGAGGTGTAAACACCCAGAAGGTCTGCTGCTTAGTGAAGAACATCAGCTCAAATGAAACACAGGGAAGGAAAACCCAGCACTGGCAGTCTCTGAAATGGAGTCTCTCCAATCCCTCATGCTTAAGCTCTGGGAAGCTGTACGTGTCCCCTCTATGTTGAAGCAAGATGCTCACAGAAACTTTAAACTATGGAACCAACTTCTCACTAAGACATATCCAAGGCAACAGCTTCTCTCCCATCAAACTATCAAGGGTACTAATAAAACTTGGGGATGCTCCTATGCTGATATCTGAAGTGCCATAAACTAGCGACAGGCTAATAGACCCAGATGATACCACCTTCCCTTTGTGTTAAACCAATTATTAAACAGAAGTTCAAGATGGAGCAACTGTGTGGTAATGGGAGATTTGAATATAGCAGCTTCAAATCAGTCCCACGTACTGCTTCTTGGTGAGGCATCAAGATGAAATAATACCCATTTTAGAAAATTAATTTATCAGGACAAAATCCTACATGCTCTGTACCCCTAAAGGAAGAAAGCACAGGGAAGTCCAATCCCAGAACATGGCCAGATCCCGTTGCTGCAAACTGAAAGTTTCTGGACACTTCTTTCTAATGTGAATTTATGAGCAGAGACATCTGCCTTATATGCAAGAGCAAGATTCAGTGTAGAACGAAGTAGCATGATCTAACTAAAATAGGTTATTGAGTTTGATCAGGTTACAATTCAAAGCATTTTAAAAGTTCTAATCCCATATCTGTCATTCATTTCAGTGATATGCTTTTGCTTTTGTGCAATAATAGCAGACTGTTGTGCCATTTATGTGCCGTGGCAAGTGTTGCAAACATACTTTGCAGGTTTCCTTGCACTAGGAAAATGGGGTTTGTGAGGTCAACCCAAACCAGCCTGGGGATCTGTGAAAACATTCCCATGTGCTATTCAGAGGGCTAAAAGCCTGGGGTTTTTGAACAACTGAATGTTAGGAAGCCAACTGGATTGAAGGTTGTTTCATTTTAGATCAACAGCTGTCCTCTTTCAGACCTCTGGGTTGGTTTTGCACGTATAAACCCAGCTCTGGGTGATGCAAGAGAGACTCCTTCTCTTTATTGGTGCCATCCCAGCCTCCTGCTACATGGGAATAAGTAGAGCACTCACAGTTATTTGTGCCTTCTCTCCTTGTCTCTCTCTCTTACTGTCCATGTCATGTTTGCTCAATTTACTACACAACAAGTATTTCCACTTCTTACCCTGAAGGGTCAAGTGAGCTCATAAAAAAGTCTGTCTGTCTCCATGC